GTGAACATGCGCTCCTTGATGCAACCAACACGATTAGACACAACCTCTCCAAAAAAGAGGTCTCTCTACTCCTCCTACTTGATTTTAGCAAAGCGTTTGATGTAATTTCCCACGATATTCTCTTAGACAAACTGTATCATTATGGCATAAGAGGACTAGCACACCAATGGTTCAAGTCTTATCTAAGTTCCAGGAGTCAGTATGTTTCAATAGGGGGCACAAATTCTTCCTCACAGTCCATGAGACACGGAGTGCCGCAAGGCAGTATTTTAGGACCTTTACTTTTCATAATATATATCAATGACATGCCAAAAATCAAATCGTACGCTAAATTTGTTTTATATGCTGACGACGCAAACATAATTATCTCAGGTAAAAATCATCAAGAAATACTACAAAAGATGACCGAATTTTCACCTTTATTGATAAACTGGGTAGATCAAAATGGTCTTTCGTTAAACCTTAAGAAAACGTGCTACATGCTCCTCTCACCCAACAGAACCTCAACACCTGACGTAAATATTCAAATTGCAGGCACCACTATTGAGCGAAAAACTGAGGCCCGATTTCTTGGCGTAATTGTTGACGAAAAATTGACCTGGACCAGTCACATTACTGCTCTTAAAGCGAAAATGATGCGGTATATTGGTATTATGTACAAAATAAAAAGTCGGCTGCCGATTAAAGTTAGACTCCAGATATACCAAAGCTTTGTACAGTCTCATATAAACTATTGTTCATTGATATGGGGTTTTGCTGCAAAAAGCCATATAGATGCTTTATTCAGCAAACAGAAGCAAGGAATAAGGGCTATTATGCCTGGCTTCGTAAACTACTACTTTAAGGAAGGTGCCTTACCACAACACACAAAGCCATTTTTCAGTGAACATGAAATTCTCACTGTGCATGGTCTTATCGTTTACAACTCAATTATCTTGATGCATAAAGTTAAAAACATGCCACAATTAGTCCCCAAAAACATCTCTCAAGCTTTTCCCGCCGACATACCCACAAAACTTTCTGATCACACGTCAGCCTGCTCCTGGCTCCAGTTATACGGGAAAAGACACTTTCAAAACAGTATTTTCTACAAGGGACCACTGCTCTCTGTCTTCGCAGACAAAGCAGACGTTACTACACTTCCGACATTATTTTCGATAAATCTGTTCAAGAGTAGTGCCAAGAAAATGCTACTTAATCTTCAAAGTGATGGTGATGTTAACGAGTGGCAACCATTCCTACTGCACAATGTTCCTGGCCTAAGACAGTCTAGACGTGAAATTTAAACTTTTAACATTTAACCTGAATCGAATTTCAACTGAAACGAATATAATCTAAGTTTAAATTAAGTCTATTGTCTAATTAATGGCTTGCAACAGGGAGCAGTATGAAAATCACACAACCCAGCACATAGAAACTACACTAAATGACACAAATTTAAATGACAACTCGCAATTACTGACTACCAATATAATAACCGCTCGCATAACTACCCCCACTTAGCGTAGATAAGCAAGCATTTCACTGCCGCTAAATTCTTTTTCCATACATTAATCTCAATCGCGCACTCATAATTACTGTAAGCGCTGAGTTACCGGCCAAAATCATTAATCACTGATGGTAAAATTTTGCACAAAATTTTAAAAACAATAGTCCAAGCTGTTCAGTGCAATTCTAAACTTCTTAACCTATAGGTTATGGATGTGTAATATCATGTGTAGCGTGAAGCGTTGTGTTTTTTAAATCTGTAGTTCATAGTACTTCATGATCACAGTGTACTTTTTGATAAACCGTGTGCAGTGCCCTTTCCAGAGGGTTTTTTTTAAAAGAATTCTTTAACGTTACTATTTTCTATCTATTACTGTTTGTATTATAATTTTGAGTAAACATTAATCGAGTAAACCGCTCGATTCCCAATCAACATTACTCTTTCACTTTCTCTTTCTCTTTCTCACTGCCTACCCCTGCTAACTGCAGTGACAGGAACCCTGAATCAGACCAAGCTGCTTACAAAACTATTTATCTGAGGTTTAAACTTTAACAACATTACTCTTTCTCTTTCACTTTCTCTTTCTCACTGCCTACCCCTGCTAACTACAGTGACAGGAACCCTGAATCAGACCAAGCTGCTTACAAAACTATTTATCTGAGGTTTAAACTTTAACAACATTACTCTTTCTCTTTCACTTTCTCTTTCTCACTGCCTACCCCTGCTAACTACAGTGACAGGAACCCTGAATCAGACCAAGCTGCTTACAAAACTATTTATCTGAGGTTTAAACTTTAACAACATTACTCTTTCACTTTCTCTTTCTCTTTCTCACTGCCTACCCCTGCTAACTGCAGTGACAGGAACCCTGAATCAGACCAAGCTGCTTACAAAACTATTTATCTGAGGTTTAAACTTTAACAACATTACTCTTTCACTTTCTCTTTCACTTTCTCTTTCTCACTGTCTACCCCTGCTAACTACAGTGACAGGAACCCTGAATCAGACCAAGCTGCTTACAAAACTATTTATCTGAGGTTTAAACTTTAACAACATTACTCTTTCTCTTTCACTTTCTCTTTCTCACTGCCTACCCCTGCTAACTGCAGTGACAGGAACCCTGAATCAGACCAAGCTGCTTACAAAACTATTTATCTGAGGTTTAAACTTTAACAACATTACTCTTTCTCTTTCACTTTCTCTTTCTCACTGCCTACCCCTGCTAACTACAGTGACAGGAACCCTGAATCAGACCAAGCTGCTTACAAAACTATTTATCTGAGGTTTAAACTTTAACAACATTACTCTTTCACTTTCTCTTTCTCTTTCTCACTGCCTACCCCTGCTAACTGCAGTGACAGGAACCCTGAATCAGACCAAGCTGCTTACAAAACTATTTATCTGAGGTTTAAACTTTAACAACATTACTCTTTCACTTTCTCTTTCACTTTCTCTTTCTCACTGCCTACCCCTGCTAACTACAGTGACAGGAACCCTGAATCAGACCAAGCTGCTTACAAAACTATTTATCTGAGGTTTAAACTTTAACAACATTACTCTTTCACTTTCTCTTTCTCTTTCTCACTGCCTACCCCTGCTAACTGCAGTGACAGGAACCCTGAATCAGACCAAGCTGCTTACAAAACTATTTATCTGAGGTTTAAACTTTAACAACATTACTCTTTCACTTTCTCTTTCTCTTTCTCACTGCCTACCCCTGCTAACTGCAGTGACAGGAACCCTGAATCAGACCAAGCTGCTTACAAAACTATTTATCTGAGGTTTAAACTTTAACAACATTACTCTTTCACTTTCTCTTTCACTTTCTCTTTCTCACTGCCTACCCCTGCTAACTACAGTGACAGGAACCCTGAATCAGACCAAGCTGCTTACAAAACTATTTATCTGAGGTTTAAACTTTAACAACATTACTCTTTCACTTTCTCTTTCTCTTTCTCACTGCCTACCCCTGCTAACTGCAGTGACAGGAACCCTGAATCAGACCAAGCTGCTTACAAAACTATTTATCTGAGGTTTAAACTTTAACAACATTACTCTTTCACTTTCTCTTTCACTTTCTCTTTCTCACTGTCTACCCCTGCTAACTACAGTGACAGGAACCCTGAATCAGACCAAGCTGCTTACAAAACTATTTATCTGAGGTTTAAACTTTAACAACATTACTCTTTCTCTTTCACTTTCTCTTTCTCACTGCCTACCCCTGCTAACTGCAGTGACAGGAACCCTGAATCAGACCAAGCTGCTTACAAAACTATTTATCTGAGGTTTAAACTTTAACAACATTACTCTTTCTCTTTCACTTTCTCTTTCTCACTGCCTACCCCTGCTAACTACAGTGACAGGAACCCTGAATCAGACCAAGCTGCTTACAAAACTATTTATCTGAGGTTTAAACTTTAACAACATTACTCTTTCACTTTCTCTTTCTCTTTCTCACTGCCTACCCCTGCTAACTGCAGTGACAGGAACCCTGAATCAGACCAAGCTGCTTACAAAACTATTTATCTGAGGTTTAAACTTTAACAACATTACTCTTTCACTTTCTCTTTCACTTTCTCTTTCTCACTGCCTACCCCTGCTAACTACAGTGACAGGAACCCTGAATCAGACCAAGCTGCTTACAAAACTATTTATCTGAGGTTTAAACTTTAACAACATTACTCTTTCACTTTCTCTTTCTCTTTCTCACTGCCTACCCCTGCTAACTGCAGTGACAGGAACCCTGAATCAGACCAAGCTGCTTACAAAACTATTTATCTGAGGTTTAAACTTTAACAACATTACTCTTTCACTTTCTCTTTCTCTTTCTCACTGCCTACCCCTGCTAACTGCAGTGACAGGAACCCTGAATCAGACCAAGCTGCTTACAAAACTATTTATCTGAGGTTTAAACTTTAACAACATTACTCTTTCACTTTCTCTTTCACTTTCTCTTTCTCACTGCCTACCCCTGCTAACTACAGTGACAGGAACCCTGAATCAGACCAAGCTGCTTAAAAAACTATTTATCTGAGGTTTAAACTTTAACAACATTACTCTTTCACTTTCTCTTTCACTTTCTCTTTCTCACTGCCTACCCCTGCTAACTACAGTGACAGGAACCCTGAATCAGACCAAGCTGCTTAAAAAACTATTTATCTGAGGTTTAAACTTTAACAACATCAGTCTTTCACTTTCACTTTCTCTTTCACTTTCTCTTTCTCACTGCCTACCTTTGCTAACTACAGTGACAGGAACCCTGAATCAGACCAAGCTGCTTACAAAACTATTTATCTGAGGTTTTAGAGAGTTTAACTCATTATCTCTTTTTCTTGAAATTCACGGTTCTTGGCCAGGTCCAGGGTAGCATTTTTGTTTCTAACAAAATGACAATATTTTAATATTCATCAAAATTGATAGTGAAATAGTTCGAAATAATAATTAATGATTACTCTCAAAACAATTTAAGAACTGAGAAGGAGCTACAAAGGTAAATAATATTTAATTTCAGATGGTTTGCGTTGTGTCACGTGCCCCGGATAGTTACCAGTCTTACTCAGTATGATGTTACTCAGATATTCGGGGTATCATTCCTCAAATTCACCTTCCCTATCATCAAGAAACAGTTTCTAGACAAGGTAAATTAGACCGCTAAATTTAAATTCTATAATTTCCAGTTATGTAATACAATCACTTTGAAACTAGGTATTAACAATAAATTATCCGTGACTGTCCACAATAATAACTGATGTTCCTTCTTCCTCTGAGGTGGGATGAGTTTGCTATGTCCTGTGATTAATGGTAGAGAGTTTCATTGTTCCAGGAGTCTTCTGAGAGAGATTGTCTTTTCTGCAAATCTCTTATCAAGTTTCTGTTTTAGCATTTCTGGGGATATCTTTAACAGTGCCGATAGGTTTATCCCAGTGGTTTAGGAGGATATCTCTGTCTTCTGATGTTAATAGATTAGATTGATGAAGGGACTTCATTGTGATGTCGAGCAGCTCATTCAGTAGTGTAATTAGTTACATTCCTCTTTAACAGTAGTTATCCTTTCCCTCGGAATCCTGCAAATATCTCCGTAATCTTTTCTCTGAAAGAAAGGGGTTTAAAAGACCAAGCACTGCGTTAACAAGCTACATGGCATTATACACTCATGTATAAACGAGGTATTCAACCGATACTAAGACTGAATACATAAGTTTAAATGCAGAACTAAATCATAGCATTAAAATAGAGAAATACCAGCCAAAAACGCTTCCATCTTACCTTGATACTCTTGTTGATAGTCTGTTATCTCTAAGAATGTCCCCATAACCAGCAAAGGTCCAAACATCCACCAGTTCCCGGCGTACCTTGTTAACCGCACAGTTCATATCAGTTATTGTAAATTTGTAATGAACATGAGTCTCCTCATGACAATGAGTAGGAAGTTTATTGGCAACTTGTCAAGGAGAGGTCCGAGAAGAGGTTTCTCAAGTCTGCTCACTCTTTCAAGACATTACTGATAATTATAGTTGGTAACAATATACAAGATAGCTGATTTCAAGTTTATTGTGGGGTTATTTATAAATAATAATAAATTTAGTATAAATACTAACTAGCTGATGACTGATTATGAGGAATGTTGACGATGTATGTAATCAACTGTCGTTTTGAACTCAATTAGTGTCATGTTACCACAATAATTAGGCTAGGAAGCTTATCCAACTCGTTACAGTGTTGTATCGTCTCCCTTATTATTGTACAAACTTGTTTCAGAACTTAACATCAAATCTGTTAAAAGGTTCTTTGGAATGTAATTTGTTGTAATAAAAATAACATTTTCTGACAAAAATCGTAACTTTCAGACAGAATCAGTACTGGACAGAATGAAGCCAGAAAGACAGCAAATGTTCAGAGTATTGCTCCCTCAACTACTGGATGCTTTAGAGAGAGAGATATTCAACGATAACAGTGCGATATGGGGACCTACCAATACTACCAGTAATGAACCTTTTTAAAGCGATTTTGAGTTATAAAAGATCCTCTTTAAACTGATCATTCATTTGCTCTTAGTTTAGTGATTATTAAATTAAATTATTCACTTTACTTTCCTTTCACAGAATTTCTAACAAACTTTGTTTTCAGGTTCAAATGATCCTTTCCCCGGAATGGATTCCATACTTGATGATCAGGTATAGTAGTATATATAGTAGTATATAATATAGTAGCCGCTCTTAAATTACTATTCTTTACCAAAGTTGAGCGTAACACAAGTTACTTATTTCACTGGAGTATTACATATTAAGTAATATATTATGATGTTTCTGGAACACCACTATACTCTACATTCTACAAACTGTATCCCTTCTCAGAGCTCATCTAAAAGTGTTAGCAGTATGAAGCAGTGCATACCAAATGATACCATAGTTAAGATAGTCGGTTCAATAACGGATCCCGCAAAACAAGTGGGCCCTGCTGGTCTCCCCAACAGGTAGTTAGTAACTCTGTCATTATTTTTATACATTGTTATTATACATTCTATACAGTATACATTCTATACATCCTTATTGTACATTCTAGTAACTCTGTATTATACATTATATAGGACACAACTGTTTCATGATAAAATAATGTAATCGTATTATGATGTGACTTAAGGAAAATATTTCCATTTTCCAATTTGTCACAATTTAACGAAGTGTGTGGTTACAATGACTGGTAATGCTCAGAAGAGAACGTAACTCCCACAGTGCGCGCGACGAGGGAGCGAGGCTGGAGGAAGAGAAGGGGGTCTTGAGACTGGAAGTTATCCAGAACTCCCTCTATAAAGACGTACCCAAACAACACTTGCTGTGGCTAGTGGGGATGCAGGTTAGTGGGGATGCATGTTAGTGGGGATGCAGGTCTTAATTTTTTAATGCTGTGATCTCGGTCCCCTCAGTGTGCTAATCTTCAAAACTATAAATATTATAGACTCTAGACTCTTTAAACTCAATTTTCATCTACTCCACTAGTCGCTCTACAGCTTTACAAAGTTGATACAGGGTGTCCCAAAAAACACTACCCAATAAGAAACTCTTATAATTTTTTCAATTTTTCTTTAATGGTACTCATGTTTTAGTATGTTTACGGGAAGGGTTGGGAGATTTGTTGGTGACTTCTGAAACTTAAGCAAACTATTTTGAGTTCTTATTTTAAAAATGTCAAAAATTGTTCGAAAAAGTCTTAAAATTATGGGCTTGTCCACCATTCGGAGCGCTGAGCCAAGAGGAAAAAACCTTTTTTCATGAATTTGATTGCAAACTGTTCCTTGTTGTCTCATCTAACTCATGAACACCTCTTTTGATGCTTAAAATCCCAATAGGTGCTCACAAATGGTCATTTTCCCAGCAGGCCTGGAACCCAAAGGCCAAAAATGGACGATATACCAAATTTGCATATAAACTATGCAATTTTTATGCGAAAGTCGTTGATTTTCTAGCTTTAATGGTCCTACATGTTCCTTGGTAAGTGTACTGACAGAGTAGTGTAGCCAAAATTTAAAATAATACGAAAATAGGGCGAAATTACGCCATTAAAAGTAAAAAGGGTGTGGCCCGAAAGTGCCAGAAAATGCTCCAAAAAAGACCCTGCACCATATCAAAAACCTCAATTTCAGTTCTCGATGCGAAGATTTCTATTGTGTCTGCATATACCTGGTTTACAACTTGGGGCTGTCTAAACGTTTCAAAACTAGGATTCATTCATGGACGAAAACTATCACCTATTCTGGGATCACACCAAGATTTTTTCGCATATCTTTAAGATCGAAAATATGTTGCCCATCAAGTTTATATGACACTCCCAATGGTCCTAAACGAATCTCCTAATCCTTTAGAAAATAATACCAAGAGATCAGAACCAAAGAGTTAAAACTGAGAAAATTAGGAGAGTTTCTTATTGGGTAGTGTTTTTTGGGACACCCTGTATAACGCCAAATAATGAATTTCAGAACGTGTACGTGCTCCAACTGCCCCGAATGCCAAAAGAGTACATCGCCCGCCTAGTATTCGACTCCAAACACAAGACCCTGTGTCTGATCAAGAACAACGCTGTGATTGGCGGGATCTGTTTCAGACAGTTTCCCTCTCAGGAGTTTACAGAGGTAGTGTTCCACGCTGTTTCCTCTAATGAACAAGTCAAGGGTTACGGAACTCACCTTATGAACCACCTCAAAGATTACCACGTGCAGTGCGGTATTTACCACTTCCTCACCTACGCTGATCAGTATGCTATTGGCTACTTTAAGAAGCAGGGTTTTACTGATAATATTACTTTACCTAAACACAAATACGAGGGGTACATTAAGGATTACGAGGGTGCTACTCTCATGCAGTGTACACTGAACCCTAAGATTTGTTACAAACAATTGTCTAAAGTTATAAAACGTCAGAAGGAGATAGTTCAGGGTTTGGTAGAATGGAAACAATCTAAAATAAACAAAGTTTACCCTGGATTAACGTGTTTTAAGAAGGGTGTATCCAGAATACCAATCGAGAGCATTCCAGGGATTCAGGAATCTGGGTGGACTCCTTCTTCGGTAAAAGAGGAGGAACATAGCAATGTCAATCAGAAACATTTCCTTCATATTTGGAACAGACTGAAGGGTCATAACTCTGCGTGGCCCTTTCTAGAACCTGTTAAAATAGAGATAGCACCAGATTACTATCAGTACATTAAGTACCCTTCAGACTTACAAACTATTGGCGAGAAACTTACCCAGGGGTACTACAAGACTAAGAAAATGTTCATTGCGGATGTTAACAGAATATTTAATAACTGCAGAATGTACAATGATCCAAATACTGAGTATTACAAGTATGCTGGTAATCTTCAGAAATTCTTTATCAGCGAGCTGAAGGAGGCAGGGCTTTATGATGATTGACTGAGTGATTATTATCATAAAGTTTTTCTTCAGTTATGAGAGTGCACATTTTAGAAATTTTTATTTTAAAGTTCAATTTTGTTTAAAAAGCTTATTTTTCAATCACGTGATCGTGGTATTTATTGTCAGACAGTGAAAATCAATTCTTATATCCTGCTTTTTTCTTTCGTCTGTTTTTCATTGGTTACTGCAGTAATACATATCTGATTCAAGTAAAACATATCCAAAAGTTACGGCAGCACTTTTATATGATATGTATACTGTTTATATTGGAATAAGGATGGTTGTTTACTAATTGTAATTAGTTAATATGATTAAAGAAAGCTCCAATTAATAAATAATCCGATAACCTAGGTTTTATGGTGGTAGTAGGTTGGAGCCGACTGGAATGTGCCGGCTGGTATCACAATGGCGCGGGATTGTAGTTCCTCTCTCCCGACATTACACTCTTCGCAACAACCAATCAGCGAGATGCGCGTCTACTCTCACTAGATTTACACCACTTCTGGGGTAGGTGCACTTACTGTTCTATTTTGCACGAATACGTCTGATCAAATTGGATATCGCAAATTGAGATTAATATTTAATCTATAGCTTGTGATGATGAGTGAATGTGTGTTGTTCAGGCAGCAGACATCAGCATCTCAACAATGTAGGACAGCATACAATCCTTTTAATCATTACGGAGAGAGTGAGGACATTCCACATGACCATGAAACTGATGAGGCTGATAAACCGTAAGTTCAACTCTGAATACTCAGCTCTAATCTGAACACTCTAATCTGAATACTCTAATCTGAATACTCTAATCTGAATACTCTATTCTGAACACTCTAATCTGAATACTCTATTCTGAACACTCTAATCTGAACACTCTAATCTGAATACTCTAATCTGAATACTCTAATCTGAACACTCTAATCTGAACACTCTAATCTGAATACTCTAATCTGAACACTCTAATCTGAACACTCTAATCTGAATACTCTAATCTGAACACTCTAATCTGAACACTCTAATCTGAATACTCTATTCTGAACACTGTCTCTTGAACACTGATACGTCATGTTTGCCAGATATTTTAGTGAGATAAATGACACCTTGTAATGTATAGACTCTAGAAGTGTGCTGAGAACACTAGAACAGCAACTACTACATTAATATAGTAGTAGCAGCAGTGTACTAGCGTATATAACATTCCTGAACTTATGCCTATTCTATATGGTTCTGTATTGTAAAAGGTTATGATATCAACGTTTTCTGTACAAACTTTGTAAATTTTTATACATTGTGTAGAGCGTTTGGTACATGTACATTTATTGTACAACATACAAATTAATGTGATTATTATTTTGTTTTCTAACCACCGTTTATTTGCAGTAAAGGAAAGCAAAAGCGGCAGGACAAGCGCCGTAAACTGCAACAAAGTGGCCACAGCACCCACAACCACTCTGATGATTTAGACGGGGACTCAGTAACTGACAGTGTGTTGTTTCACGACTTCAGAATAGTTGGGTGGTCTCCTGAGGAGATCTACTCTGTTGTTATGAATGTAGCGGAGTATAAGGAGTTCATTCCTTACTGCATTAAAAGTCCTGTAGTGTCGCAACATTCTACTAAGAGACATGATTACATGGAGGCTGAATTGGAGGTTACATTTTGTCGAGTTACTCGTTTTTAATTGCTTTATGAGACTAACTATGGGTATCAGACTATCCAAACAAATTGTTGAAAGGGTCTACTTAAAATGGAGATTGGAAGGCGCACACAAATTATTCTTGGTTTTAATGCGCACACGTATGTTTTTAAAACGCGCGCGCGCGTGCGCGCGATTCGATCCAAATTCTTTAGAATAATATCCACAAAGTTTTTAACTATTAGTTCGATTTTCTATTTTTGACTTTATATTGAAATTGGCTTCCATATTTAGATATTTACCAGGCTTAGCGTCCATAAACACATTCAAGACATGGCGGAATGACAGGCTGAGCGCCGCCCATTAACTTCCACATTACATGTTGACTAAGCTTACCGAAGCAATGATAAATAAACAATTCCTTTAGGTTGGTTTTAAATATTATCAATTGAGCTACACTTCTAAAGTTGATGGATCCACTACCTTGGATGGGAAAAAGATAGTAACGGTATGTAAATATTACCTGAATTAAATGTATTCACAATCCATTCATCCCTTATTTACGAACCCAATAAACTGAATTTTCTTGTATCTCCATGTATCTAATGTGGGGGTCACGAAATCCTCTCCGAACCTCCACGTGGTGTGGCCTGGTTGGCACTAACGGGTGGTGTGCTCTCTTGTTGAGTACTAAGGTTGGGACTTGCCAACTCAAAGTTCCCATGGGAACCAGGAAGTCAACAATAACAGCTACCAAGCACCAGGAAATTTCTCTTTCGGATATCAGGTTACAAGATAGTACACACACAAATGACGATACGTTAGACACAGATACCTAGCTCTAAGAGCTATTAAATCACCAGGAAATTCTCTTTCAGCTTTCAGGTCCCATCGAAGTCACCCACCACAGAGCTAGGGATTCCAATTCGCTCATCCTGACTACAAGGACACACTGATAATGAGTAGTCTTGGCACTTCCTCCCTCCAGTAACCACTTTTCAGGTCTTTTCAGTTAAGACAGCTAATGCGTAAGGGCTGACACACGCTAGACACAGGCTCGTGATAAGACAAAATTAGGGATTTCAACTCTGACTACGAGAACACACTGATAACGAGAATTCCTGGAACTTCTTCCTCCAGTAACCACTTTTCAGGGGACCGGGTTAGCTTTGCCACACTCTTTATTGAAGTGTGACTGGACGCTCTACAATCATCTAGTAGCAGCAGAGTTTGACTGACATCCTTACTGGTTCTATTCAGTTTCTACAGCGGAAGTTCTCAACACTCGAATCAGTTCATCTCGGACATCCTGCAGAGATGCTTTATCACAGCCTGCCCCATTACACGGGGAACCCTTAGATCTACAGTACCCTGGTGGACAGCTTAGCTCTTTAAGCATAGTGGACCTCTTTATTTCTGAGACGCAAAGCTAACCGGACCAGAAATAAACATCAATGCAATGCTTAGGGGATGCAAATAGGACATACAACGTTTAACGATTTACTCGAACTTTTGATTCATTTTTAAGCTCGACGTTACATGGTATCAATTCAGGACAGATATTCCTTCTTCAGGTTCATTGAGGAAATCGTACCCGCTATTTGCGTTATACATGGCAAGTTTCTGGACTAATGATAACTTAGGATCTCAATCAATCATAAATTCCTCTCAGATTCCCAGGCTGCATTTAAAGCCCTTAACAGCACCACTTTTAACTCCAGGTTCGTTCTGAACATCTCAGACCAACTCAACTCGCTAGGTTTTCGCATCGAGTAGAACTTTGTTCCAGGACATGAAGGAGTATACGGTAAAGAACTATAATCAACACACAAATAAAAGATTACCTCTTCAATCTCCATATCAAGAAGTATAAACAGGTGGCACTCAGTGATAAAGGAAAAACCCCACTAACATTTTTCCTCAACAAAAACAGGTACAAGAAAATTAACATCACAGGTACTCACATCAGATGGCTAACATGGCTACTATCAGGACACAGCCCACTAGCATACTTCCAGACGGTAGCAAACAACTCCAATTTCGAAACACAAGACTGTGAACACTGCCCAGGGGAAGTAGAAACATCACAACACTTCCTATGTGAATGCATCCAGCTGATGACAACTAGAATGAGGATATTTGGTAAACCCATCCTAACAATTGAGGAACTCATCAATAGTAAACTCGGCCACATTATCAAATTCGTGGAACAGTCAACAAGGTTTGACAGAGACGATCTATTTGGATAAGCATCTAGGACATACACCAAGGTTCATAAACAATCATACACTAGACCCACACAGGACCATCCCAGATAGTGACACATATTCAGGTGTGGACCATGCTCGGAAGTCCCTCGCCTGCCCGCCAAAGAAGAACATCTGAAGTGGGTTTGCTCTGAGCAAGGTAGTAACAGCTTCGAGACTCCAGAGGTCTGTTGCGTTGATATCTATTATTCTATGTTTTTGTATATACTTAGGGAGTCCTGGAGTGTGGCTAGCAGGAGTCACACTCTGTGGGCACGGCGAGAAGGCCTCCCTCTTCACTAGGAGGCCAGAAACCGTTGACCAAAACAGAGAGAGAGAGAGAGAGTATCTAATGTGGTCACTAATGTCACTGCTTTTAAATTTTCAGGCGGTGTGCGAAAACAAGAAGCTGTTTGACCATCTTAACATGGAATGGGTAATCGCTCCCGGACCTAAGGAACACACCTCTACCATGGACTTCAATGTCTCGTTCGCGTGAGTTTTATTTGTCTTCTTTTATGGGGATTTTTCTACAGGTTTTAGAAGGTTTTGAGAATGATATATCGATATACCGTGAATATAACCGTTTATGCGAATAGTGTAGCTAAAAATGAACGGTAATCAAAACCGGCTAATATTATCTTAGAATTAACATCACCCGCTCAGTATAAAATTACCTCAGGTTTTCCAATGTAGTTTACAACACGGTTGCCAGTATGTTCAAATCTTCAGTCGTCGATCAAATGATCCCGGCTTTTGAGAGCCGACTACGTGAAGTGTACGGTGAGCCCACCATCCTCTCATCCTTATCAGCAGCTGCTGGAAAAGTTCACCGGCGCAAAAAAAGACGGTAGAATAGTCAGTGTTAATGAGCGCTCCTACTAAATCGCTCGCCCAAATTTTAAGAAAATTCTTGTGAAAAGGCCCTTTGGGTATAAAATGGGTCGGAATCGATGTATTTTTGGACGCTGATTCCGAATCACCCCCCATGACGTAGGGTAAAAATGCTTCCTTGGAGAGTTATGGGCAAAAACCCGTTTTGGTCACGTGACAGGCTAGTAAAATACGATTGTTTATGGCTCGGGTTAGGGTTGTGGTAAGGGTTATGGTTAGCTTTGGGGTTATGGTTAGGGTTAGGGTTGGGATTATGGTTTATATAAAACCGTTTTGTACGGCTGCAAAACCATAAAAACCAAAGTCACGTGAAATTTTTGGGCGAGCGAATTAGTAAGAGCCGTTAATGAGAGACTCTACAGATTTTATAACCGAACGTTCATTATGATCATAGGAATTTTTCTAATTTTCTATGTGACGATTATATAATTCGGATGTGACCCCATCGATGATTCTGCAATGTATTTATTTGATCACAGAAATATTTGGGATAAAAGTTGCACTACTCCCGTGATTCCCTGTATTCAGTAATACCAACACCCCATACCAACAATGAAGATAATATACTGAACTTGAAGATTGGAGTGTTGACTGTATCGGATGTTGCTTGTTGTAAAATTGTAAAAGGAAACAATTTTTCCGTGAAGATGTGTTAAGTGATAATTGGTACTAAGAATTTATTTGATTTTCAAGTTCTGTGCAATCTGGCTTCGTTCACTGATCTCAATGTTTACCCATATACCAGAAAGAAAACGCAGCGTTTAATTTTAATCAAAATAAAATAAATGATAAAAGGAAGCAATCCTGAATTATACTGGAATCGTAAAACACATCTGCATCTTCACAGGCGATTCCCTTGAGAAAAGTCTTTAGCATTAGACACGAAGTAAATCCTGTGCTCGTGCACCCCCTCACCCTCCAAATTTTTCAAGGGTGGCTTATGAGCTTATGATCGACTTATCGAGAACCGTAGCCCCACACTCGTTGTCTTCCTCACAGGCCACCTTAGCCGTCTTCACACTGCTGTAGAAGGTGATGAGCTCGTTTTATTTGGGGTGGGGTGGTAACATGACTTTAGCACGGAGTTCGCACCATCCACCTGGTACTTTTGTGTCTGATGGGATGAAGAGGATCACCAGGGTAAATAGTATCACGGTATTAAGCGTGACAATGATACAATGACATCAGTGAAAAATATTGGTTATAATCAACAGTAACTATTCGGATCCCCACTGTCTTCTAAAATTGTCCAATGTTAATATCTAAGAACGGACATCTCCACAAGCCCCCTTGATAAAAGTGTTGTATCGGAAATAGGTCTGAGTATCTCTTGTCTCCACATCCTCATCAGATACCAGGTAAATAGTTTGAGCGTGTATCACCGGACCTCCTGGAACCTTCTTGTAGGGGATCTTATCCAGACCCACAGCTCCACATCCAGCATCTTTAGCACAGGCTTTCTTAGCTTTCTTCACGCTACTAAAAAGGTTCCTTGAAGTATTGTGAGCGTGGTGCCGTATAACCTTATTTAGGAGGTGGCACCATTCTCCTGTGGTTTCAGAAGCTGTTTCCGTGATGGGGAGGGTCGTCAGGACAATAAACAGTATCATTGGTTTAGTTGTCATGCTACTCCTAATCTCTTTTCCTAAAAAACAGGGTTATCTTACATATAGTTACAGCTATAAAATAAAAGAGGGATAATTCGAGAGCAATGATCTTCATTCTCCATCGATTTTGTCCCCTTTACTATACTCAACAACTAGTGCTCTGAATCGTATCCTTGCAGGTTATGATTATATTAATTGTCCTGGCTCGCCAATCCCTGCGCGCGGCGCTCTTTTCAAGCTTCCTGAACAGGAAATGAGAGGAGCGGGCAACAGACTAGCAAGCTAGGTAATACTAATAGTTGTCACCAATCCCTAATAGTAATTTAATCAAACCATAGACCCATGCTTTTATCAGTTGTATGGAGGCAGAAACTCTAAGTTTAATCCTTACTTAAAAGCACCGGACGGTGGTCAATCACAATATCTAATCAATCGAAGTTAAAGTCTAATAAATCATTCACCAAAATGAAATGCCCTAGTGAGTCATTAATATAATATAAGGCACCGTACAAACAATATAAGGCACCGTACAAACTGTGTTAGAAAACAAAGCAAGGACTCAGTATGTAATAATTCAGAGTGTTACCCTCTTAACAGAAGTCTGATGAGCTGGAACGAATAAAGAAATTAAGTAATAAGTATTACATAATATTATATTATTATATTGTACCTGTACGGTGAGATTGACAATAAAACCTTATACCTTGTTTGTCGGGCCCAAACGTTATACCCTTGTATTCTTTTTATTGCCATTAAGTTTAACATTATTATAAACGATAAAGCTTAATATTTCTTTCTTCGTCTAATATCATATTAATATTATTACGTAATTGAAATTACTCTATGAGATAATTTTCCGGAACAATGAACGTTCATCGAACCATAAAGTAAATAATCATCTAAAAACAGTTCAGTACCACTTGAATATTATTTTCATGAGTTGAGTTTAATCTATATCATCTTTTTAATCAAAAATACGGTATATTGCGTTAAACCAGCACCAATAAAACACAGCCGAAACTGAACTTGAACACCGAACCGAACCGAAATTTCGGTCGTTTCCTAAAATGACATTCAGCCAAAGCAATTTTATAATTTGTAAGAAATTTGAAAACTAAAAAGTTTAAATTGTGGACAATAAAATTTCCGAGGGAATGATTTTGTTGTAGTTGTTATGATAACAGTGGACTCGATCTTTTTATTTTCAGATCTGATATTACTTATGAAGTAGCCTCAATAAATGATAGCCTTTCTTTCAAAGAAAATGTATTTTGTACATAAAATGATAATAAACAATAAATTTCAAATACTACTAGTACTATACTATATTTCAAATATAACAATTTTGTCATATCATCAATTAAAAGACATCAAATTTTGCACAATAGTTTTCTCCCATCATGACATAGTATTACTTCTGGGTCTCATAGTAATGTTATTGTTAGCTTTATTCATGTTACTGTTTGTTTTAGTCATACATTGAGGAACCACTCCAAACGCCAGAGCAGCGGACTCCATCAGGGGTTGACGGGGCATCTCGGGCGGGGCCCCGTTTATCCTGTAAAACTCTAAGGCAGGCTTGTTCTTCCTCCGTCTCTGCAGGCTATCTATTTTCTTTACAACTTTAGAGGACACCATAGCTAGCATGTATCCGCTCATATTCTCTGATAGTTTAGCAACCACAATACGGCCTGTTTAATACCTTTATTACACATGTTGTCATGTGGTTTAAATTAATGACTGTTAATGTGGCCTATAATATCCAGATACCCATTAACTTTATATTTTGTACTTTTTTAATATACCAAAGTACTAAGACTGTACTTATTAACCAGTGGCGTAACGTTGCCTGTTGGCAAAATTATAATTGTTCAGGAGTCAGGACTACAGTGCTGCAAGCCGCCGTTTATTTCAAAACGGCGGCGGCGTGATTAAAATCGGCGGCGGCGGTGTAATCGGCGTGAGGTCACGTGATTTCGCAGATTAAATTTTCCTCTGGAATAATGCCATGTGGAGACTGGAGAGCAATTTTTAACAGTTTTGAATTTTGAAACGAGGCTCGTAATATTTAGTAGTATATAGTATAAACAGGTTCATGCCGTGTACGCCGTATGAAAACGGCGGCGGCGGCGTTGCCGGTAAATCATCGGCGGCAGCGTTCGGCGGCGGCGTGCAGCACTGCAGGACTAATTAAATGTTCAATCTGTATTCTGTATGTAGCTTGAAAAATATACCTGAAGGTCCAATGTATCCGAACATCCGTGTGAAATCAGCAGTGGTCTGCATCATGGAGGAATTAACAATCCACTTGTGTGTTATGTTAGGGTTCAGGAACTTGAACATTGTGTAAAACCAACTATGCAGTTAAAAGTTAGTGGGTAATGTTAGGGTTCAGGAACTTGAACATTGTGTAAAACCAACTATGCAGTTAAAAGTTAGTGGGTTATAATGTTGGGGTTCAGGAACTTGAACATTGTGTAAAACCAACTGTGCAGTTAAAAGTTAGTGGGTTATAATGTTGGGGTTCAGGAACTTGAACATTGTGTAAAACCAACTATGCAGTTAAAAGTTAGTGGGTTATAATGTTGGGGTTCAGGAACTTGAACATTGTGTAAAACCAACTATGCAGTTAAAAGTTAGTGGGTTATAATGTTGGGGTTCAGGAACTTGAACATTGTGTAAAACCAACTATGCAGTTAAAAGTTAGTGGGTTATAATGTTGGGGTTCAGGAACTTGAACATTGTGTAAAACCAACTATGCAGTTAAAAGTTAGTGGGTAATGTTAGGGTTCAGGAACTTGAACATTGTGTAAAACCAACTATGCAGTTAAAAGTTAGTGGGTAATGTTAGGGTTCAGGAACTTGAACATTGTGTAAAACCAACTATGCAGTTAAAAGTTAGTGGGTTATAATGTTGGGGTTCAGGAACTTGAACATTGTGTAAAACCAACTGTGCAGTTAAAAGTTAGTGGGTTATAATGTTGGGGTTCAGGAACTTGAACATTGTGTAAAACCAACTGTGCAGTTAAAAGTTAGTGGGTTATAATGTTGGGGTTCAGGAACTTGAACATTGTGTAAAACCAACTGTGCAGTTAAAAGTTAGTGGGTTATAATGTTGGGGTTCAGGAACTTGAACATTGTGTAAAACCAACTATGCAGTTAAAAGTTAGTGGGTTATAATGTTGGGGTTCAGGAACTTGAACATGGTGTAAAACCAACTATGCAGTTAAAAGTTAGTGGGTTATAATGTTGGGGTTCAGGAACTTGAACATTGTGTAAAACCAACTATGCAGTTAAAAGTTAGTGGGTTATAATGTTGGGGTTCAGGAACTTGAACATTGTGTAAAACCAACTATGCAGTTAAAAGTTAGTGGGTTATAATGTTGGGGTTCAGGAACTTGAACATTGTGTAAAACCAACTGTGCAGTTAAAAGTTAGTGGGTTATAATGTTGGGGTTCAGGAACTTGAACATTGTGTAAAACCAACTATGCAGTTAAAAGTTAGTGGGTTATAATGTTGGGGTTCAGGAACTTGAACATTGTGTAAAACCAACTATGCAGTTAAAAGTTAGTGGGTTATAATGTTGGGGTTCAGGAACTTGAACATTGTGTAAAACCAACTATGCAGTTAAAAGTTAGTGGGTTATAATGTAAGGGTTCAGGAACTTGAACATTGTGTAAAACCAACTATGCAGTTAAAAGTTAGTGGGTTATAATGTTGGGGTTCAGGAACTTGAACATTGTGTAAAACCAACTATGCAGTTAAAAGTTAGTGGGTTATAATGTTGGGGTTCAGGAACTTGAACATTGTGTAAAACCAACTATGCAGTTAAAAGTTAGTGGGTTATAATGTTGGGGTTCAGGAACTTGAACATTGTGTAAAACCAACTATGCAGTTAAAAGTTAGTGGGTAATGTTAGGGTTCAGGAACTTGAACATTGTGTAAAACAAACTATGCAGTTAAAAGTTAGTGGGTTATAATGTTGGGGTTCAGGAACTTGAACATTGTGTAAAACCAACTATGCAGTTAAAAGTTAGTGGGTAATGTTAGGGTTCAGGAACTTGAACATTGTGTAAAACCAACTATGCAGTTAAAAGTTAGTGGGTTATAATGTTGGGGTTCAGGAACTTGAACATTGTGTAAAACCAACTATGCAGTTAAAAGTTAGTGGGTTATAATGTTGGGGTTCAGGAACTTGAACATTGTGTAAAACCAACTATGCAGTTAAAAGTTAGTGGGTTATAATGTTGGGGTTTAGGAACTTGAACATTGTGTAAAACCAACTATGCAGTTAAAAGTTAGTGGGTTATAATGTTGGGGTTTAGGAACTTGAACATTGTGTAAAACCAACTATGCAGTTAAAAGTTAGTGGGTTATAATGTTGGGGTTCAGGAACTTGAACATTGTGTAAAACCAACTGTGCAGTTAAAAGTTAGTGGGTTATAATGTTGGGGTTCAGGAACTTGAACATTGTGTAAAACCAACTATGCAGTTAAAAGTTAGTGGGTAATGTTAGGGTTCAGGAACTTGGACATTGTGTAAAACCAACTGTGCAGTTAAAAGTTAGTGGGTAATGTTGGGGTTCAGGAACTTGAACATTGTGTAAAACCAACTATGCAGTTAAAAGTTAGTGGGTAATGTTAGGGTTCAGGAACTTGAACATTGTGTAAAACCAACTATGCAGTTAAAAGTTAGTGGGTTATAATGTTGGGGTTCAGGAACTTGAACATTGTGTAAAACCAACTGTGCAGTTAAAAGTTAGTGGGTTATAATGTTGGGGTTCAGGAACTTGAACATTGTGTAAAACCAACTATGCAGTTAAAAGTTAGTGGGTAATGTTAGGGTTCAGGAACTTGAACATTGTGTAAAACTAACTATGCAGTTAAAAGTTAGTGGGTTATAATGTTGGGGTTCAGGAACTTGAACATTGTGTAAAACCAACTGTGCAGTTAAAAGTTAGTGGGTTATAATGTTGGGGTTCAGGAACTTGAACATTGTGTAAAACCAACTATGCAGTTAAAAGTTAGTGGGTTATAATGTTGGGGTTCAGGAACTTGAACATTGTGTAAAACCAACTATGCAGTTAAAAGTTAGTGGGTAATGTTAGGGTTCAGGAACTTGAACATTGTGTAAAACCAACTGTGCAGTTAAAAGTTAGTGGGTTATAATGTTGGGGTTCAGGAACTTGAACATTGTGTAAAACCAACTATGCAGTTAAAAGTTAGTGGGTTATAATGTTGGGGTTCAGGAACTTGAACATTGTGTAAAACCAACTATGCAGTTAAAAGTTAGTGGGTAATGTTAGGGTTCAGGAACTTGAACATTGTGTAAAACCAACTATGCAGTTAAAAGTTAGTGGGTTATAATGTTGGGGTTCAGGAACTTGAACATTGTGTAAAACCAACTATGCAGTTAAAAGTTAGTGGGTTATAATGTTGGGGTTCAGGAACTTGAACATTGTGTAAAACCAACTATGCAGTTAAAAGTTAGTGGGTTATAATGTTGGGGTTCAGGAACTTGAACATTGTGTAAAACCAACTATGCAGTTAAAAGTTAGTGGGTAATGTTAGGGTTCAGGAACTTGAACATTGTGTAAAACCAACTATGCAGTTAAAAGTTAGTGGGTTATAATGTTGGGGTTCAGGAACTTGAACATTGTGTAAAACCAACTATGCAGTTAAAAGTTAGTGGGTTATAATGCTGGGGTTCAGGAACTTGAACATTGTGTAAAACCAACTATGCAGTTAAAAGTTAGTGGGTTATAATGTTGGGGTTCAGGAACTTGAACATTGTGTAAAACCAACTATGCAGTTAAAAGTTAGTGGGTTATAATGTTGGGGTTCAGGAACTTGAACATTGTGTAAAACCAACTATGCAGTTAAAAGTTAGTGGGTTATAATGCTGGGGTTCAGGAACTTGAACATTGTGTAAAACCAACTATGCAGTTAAAAGTTAGTGGGTTATAATGTTGGGGTTCAGGAACTTGAACATTGTGTAAAACCAACTATGCAGTTAAAAGTTAGTGGGTTATAATGTTGGGGTTCAGGAACTTGAACATTGTGTAAAACCAACTGTGCAGTTAAAAGTTAGTGGGTTATAATGTTGGGGTTCAGGAACTTGAACATTGTGTAAAACCAACTATGCAGTTAAAAGTTAGTGGGTTATAATGTTGGGGTTCAGGAACTTGAACATTGTGTAAAACCAACTGTGCAGTTAAAAGTTAGTTCGGTTATTCTATTTTAATTTAGAACCATTCTAAATAAGAAAAATAATGTAGAACTACATTATTTTTATTATTTAGAATGGTTTTATTATTTAGAATGGTTTTATTTAGATGTATTATCGAGAAGCTTTGTGGAGGAGGTAGTATTCAAATTCATTCAACCTTTATTCAGTTCTAACACGATGTAGTTATAATCAATATGAAAACATCGTTCATTTGATCATTCTAGTTGCGTTTTATACTGTCCATAGTTAAAACATAGTACCTGATAGCATTGAGGAATATAAGAGCAACGTTAAGGTACCACATCACTAGGAACAGGTATTGGTACATCACATTTAGCGCCAGAGTACACATTCCTGTAACATTAGACAAGTCAGCACTCAAGACACGACAATAATTTAGCGTTTTAGTTATAAGTTTTTAATAATTTAGCGTTTTAGTTGTAAGTTTTTAATAATTTAGCGTTTTAGTTGTAAGTTTTTAAGTTTTTACAACTACTGCAGCTGGTTAGAAATCGTTGAGAAAATAAATGGCCGTAAGAAAATATGTATTAGATACGACACGTCTGGTATAAGAGGAAATGCAGAACCCACTCTTTGTATGAATCATGTTACCATAGTTACCATAGTTACCATAGTTATCATGGTTACACTGCAGAGTACAGTACGGTTATTGATAGAAACTTAAAAACCAACCTGTTTCAAACTCCAAGCCTGAAGCAGCCCACTTCTCGATACGACACGCCACCACTTTAGGGAAGAGAACATCCTTCACGTGAGTCTGGGAGCCTCCAGTCGGCATCCCGAACATCAAGCCGTACGTGATCCAGTTCCCTATCTTGAACATGCGTGCGGTAAGCAGCATGTGTCCTATTGCTATCACTGAGGGATGGAGGGCTCATTTTTATAATTTTTTTTGTAAAAGTAGGAGTTTGAATATTTAAATATTTAGAGTAGCCATACCTATACTGTTTTATAAATCGACATGAGCAGTCCTCTGCACGTGCATTTAGTGCTTCAGTCCGATAATAACCATAGACCAATCGTATTTCGAAGCAATATTGTCAGCTTTTTGACACATATTGCGTAAAAATTGGCATTTTAATCATGTGAGAGTTACAAATATAGTTATGTTTTAAATGGCCCACTTATCGTTCGGGGATATTTTTGTCCGTTATCGTTATGTAATATTTATATTTTGCTTTAGTATAACTATAAGATATGACGAAATAAAAAAGCTATGTTTTCAAATAAAATGCGTTCCAATTATTACTTGCTATATTTTTATCAGTAGCAGAAATCAGAACAATATTCGATAGATTTTCAAAATGCTTCGTTCTTCAAAAACACCGCCTAATTAAACGCTTAGTAATTCTTGATTGACGATGCCAACCCAGTTTCCGGCTCGTTATAGCTCTGCTACGAGTCTAGAGTTTCATTAAATATTTGTAAGATTCTGCAGTGTTATTCCTCCATAGGACAGGGCCCCTTAACATAGGTATTAAATCTCCGTTGGCCTCCTAGAACAGGTTTTGTCTCCACGTCCACAGCTGATACCAGGTAAATAGTTTGAGCGTGTATCACGGGACCTCCTGGAACCTTCCTGTAGGGGATCCTATCCAGACCCACAGCTCCACACCCAGCATCCTTCTCACAAGCAGATTTAGCTCCGTCCAAACTGCTGTAGAACTTGTTCTCTTCCCTGTTGTAGAGCGAGATGAAGCTCTTGAATCTGGCGCACCATTCTCCTGTAACCACTGGTGCCGGGGTTGGTGCCGGGGTTGTCGTAACCTCAGCAGGGGTGGTGGAGCCCCAGGTTTCCCAAGAAGTGGTACTGTCAGGAGCAGAGGTGCTCGATAGGATAGGTCTGCTGAAGAGAGATACCAGCGTGAATAACATTACGATGTACGCCATTTTACTTTTGGAAGACCTGTTATGGAACATTTGTGAAATTACAAAAATTGTAGTATGTTTAAATAGCACTTCACTCTTCAAGAGTAGTGTTAATATTGTTTTAATTTCGTCTGGCCGAGTGGAGATACTTCAATCTACGAGGAGTGTCTAAAATCCCATATTAAATAAAATAAATCGCATTAACCTGAATTTACCAAATAGATGCAAGAAATATTTCAAGCATGATTTTCAATTATTCATGTTGGATAAACGCTCACGTAATGTCCATCCATTTGATGCCACCCAAATTAAAGTTCAGTAGAATGTTTTGATGTGTAATGTCCGCACAAATAAAGTTCGATAAGTAATACTAGTACTAGTACTACAAGTACATAGATACAGAGATACAGAGCCCGCGAAATTTTATGATATATAACGGATTGAGCACTGAAGATTTTAATATCTAATGTTAGAATATAAACGTTGAAGAGAAACCGTATGGATCATGAACAAAGCTAAGGCGCAAAGTGGGCAAGTAAATTAGTTAGTAAATTCACAACTGCTTGTTGAATTTTCACCTCTTTAAATTGTGGCTTTATTACAATAAAATAATTTAGAGCTATAATGGTTATCAATTATAATAGGGGGAAGGTGCAGCTGAGACCACATATTCCACGATGGTATCTGATACTAGTTACTACTACTAGTACTAATAATATAAGCTATAATGGTTAATGCATATAAATAAAATAACTCAAATTAATTGCAGTATTTAGGACCTTAGCTGTTTGCGTTTGCCCATGTTTCTCCTCGTTAATTAGAGGAGTTAATTACTGATGGTTTGGTAAATTATGAACGAAATGAGATGTTTACCTGCATTTAATAGGAGAGGGGTGAACATTGTTTTTGGGGTTTAAGGTCTCTAGAACAGGCTCAAATCGACTGGCCATATTATTTACAACTTAATTCCTTTATTTACAACGTAATGCCCAAAAATTATGCCTAATTTTGGAGTTATTGGCCAAAAACTGATCTTGGCAATGCTGACCCATTTTTTAAACGTTTGATAGAAAAATATTAAAGACCTCTAGATCATGAGTTTAAACTAACCGCAGGGTGGGGGAGTGACAGGTTAAACCGGGAAAAACTTCCCGAACCCACTTCCAAGCGATGCAGGGCCCTCGATAAGAATATAAGTTTGTAACTTCCTGCCCTTTTCAAAAAATCATCCGGATAATTTCAACTGAGAGACTGTAATTTCTGTTAGAATATAAAAATTCTGAAGCGTTGTTACTTCTATCATTCAGCTGATCCAGCAAACTATACGTTATCCTAGTGTAAGTTCCAACTATAAAGTGCGGTAATTCTACCAATCAGTGACGTCTGATTTATCGTGTGAACAATTATAAATGATGAGAAAACTTACAAAAACAAACAAGCGAACAACATTTACATTAGTAATTAATGTCGTCAGCTGAGTCCGTACGCCGTAATAGCATCTAAAGCAAAATCACTGATTAGGGGGTGCACTGTTAATCAGGAGCTCTATGAGGCAACCTTCCAGCAAGATCAAAGACTTGTTTACTGCTTAGATTTAGACAATAATTCAATACATACCTCGTCGATAGGTCTCTTCGAACCTCAAATTTAAGAATTTATTGCAATGTTTTCCTTTGCATAACAAAAACCTTGTCGCGTATAACTGAATAACTTGAAAAAGAAGAAGAATTGTGGGTTTGCAACCATCCGGAAGTATAATCTAGATCTGTTAAACAGACTACGAGTTACCGGGGCGCCATGACATACTTTTGTTTCGCCGCATAATCTCCAAGTGTGCTAACTTACAATTAGTCGGATCCCAACCGTTCTAAAAGGCTATCTCGTTAGCTTTTCGTGTTAAAAGCGATTTCTCAACGGTTATCACCTCTCTAGATGATTCTTAAAACATTTGGACTTCATGGCAAGGTTGAAATACATGCAATGAGGGCGTTTTCGGCCACACCCTTTTTCAGAGTTTCGCGGTCACTCGAATTATTGTATTTCAGCCCAGGAAGGTCTTAAAGACTATTCCGATACACCAAAATGTGCCTAATAGCCACATTTATATACAACTTATGAAGCAACATATACCTTAAAATGCTTTGTTTCGGAAATATGGCCGAAAAACGGTTTTTGGCTTGACGCAGTTCATAATTTCCGTGATTTTTGGCATTTCCGCCTAGGAAGGTCGTAGAGACTATTCTGATACACCAAAATGTGCCTAATAGCCACATTTATATACAACTTATGAAGCAACATATACCCTAAAAGGCTTATTTTCGGAAATGTGGCTGAAAAACGGATTTTTGTCGAGCAAACAATGACAATATTCACAAATGGGCTATTGGACTGTTAACTAGAAAGGTCTTAAAGACTCATGAGCAACACAGTATTTGTCACAAGATGTAAGATGACTCACTTTGTGTCCAGAAACACCTACAAAAATTGGAGAATGATCTACTTTATTGGGCATCTCTTTTAATGGGCCAGGCCAGCAGCATATTTGTGTCTTACGAAATGGCAATTTTTCAAAATTACGGTTTCTTTAGTAAAGGTCAATGGGTCAGTTACAAACAGCAAATTGTTCGCAATTGCCGACTCATGCACATCATATACTCAAAAACGCTCACATAAGGAGTCATTAGTAAATAACTAATACATGATTTGTGAAAACTCCAACAATTTTTCCTTGGTACAAATTTAAATAAAATGTTGGACGTGCCAGACCAAAATTCAACTTCAAACTTTTTATTTATTCATGCCATGAAACCATAATGAGTTATGTGCCCATCCTTGGAGAACCCGGCGAATGTCCTTGCTGTACGGCAGTGTTAAACAAGGAATTGAAACAGAGGGGTTCTGTTCAGGCCCTTCACACTTTGTTTCTGTCTAGTTCTAATGTACCGTCACAATAGTGACTTTAATTTATGTACCAAGAATACCAGACCTAAAATAAATCGGCACTGGATCCGGATCAGATTGTTGCTTGACCGCTGACCAGTACCCCACTTTTTAATTATGATTGATTTCGCTGCTTCGACCAATGTTGGTCTGTAATCCCTGGATTGAGATTTGTTGGCCGCAATTTAAATTAGCTAATTTCTTATAATACCGCAGTGGTCTGGTTCCCACTTCAGAATGACCCCATATTCTTTTTTTAAGTCGCATAGATTTTCCCATCGTTTGATAATGTGTGTCAACTGTCATTCCCTCGTTTTTTAATCAAGTGGTGACTGGCTATTTCTTCTGTTATTACAGCTGTGAGCTGCCTCGAGATCTTATCTGGGGCATGGGCACAAATACAGGGTGGGCCAAAAGTCAGTGTGCAAACGTTGGCCTTAATAGCTCAGTCACTGAGTGCCCAATTGAAATACTTCCTTCTGGTATGACTTAGTACCACCACTGGTTCGAGGAATTTGCCAACTCGAAAAATATTCGTGTTCATTTTTTTCAAATGGAGGTTCATTTTCACATTTATTTGATAGTTAGGATAGTCTGATCAAGCTAAATGTTATTGAATTGTGTTTGGCCATTCGAATTACGTTTGTCCTGAAAGAATTAGAACTGTAGCTTCTCAGATGACCGAGATATGAAGCATAACGAGTTTATTCATTACGTGTGATCAGGTGATTGGTTTACCTAATCACGTGATAAGGTGACCCCGTTAACTACCCCGTTAAACATTATGGGAATTGTTAAGGGTGCCCAATTAAGGTGTCGTGTCACGGTGTCACATAATCACCCAGTCAATTTTGTTAACGAGATACACAAAATGCTTGATAACTTCGTCATTTCTAATCTGTTTTGCCTCATGTTTTCAGATCATATGCAACATTTGATAATCTACCGTCTCTGAAAAAATTAGGCGTTCAGCATGTTCAGAGAAAACAATATAGGTGTTTTAATAATGAATGGGCGTGGTCTAAAATATTCGAATTTTCAAATTTTGA